AACTAAATATTTTCGAAATATGGCAGTAATTAACTCACCATTGAGTAGTGCAAATCTATCTGTATTATCAATTGCTTGTAATGCATCACGAACATAGCGTTGTTCATGAGTACCTGCCAATGCAGAGTAAGCGTTTGTGGTGGTCTCATTTACGATGGAAAGCATTTGTAAAAGTTGTTCAGGATCATCTTCGTCTGCATTTTCATCACCTTCATAGTAGTTAGGCATCAAAATAGGTTCAATGCTATTTTCATTTTGGGCTTCTAAAAGAGCTTGATGAAGGTGCTCATCTCGATCGTGTTTACATTCGTGTAAAAGTTCTATATTTTCTATTATCTTAAGCGAGTTGGAACAGATCAATAATCTTCGTGCTTCCAATGCTTCTGACCATGTCTGATTCAGTTCACAAAGATCTTGAACTGATCGCCATGGAACGAATAATGTTAACAATGCACGACAATAACGTTCATGGGTATCTTCTCGTTCGCGGCGAGGTATTTGAGGACCTATTAGGACTGGTACGACTGGAGTGGAACGTTTAATTATGAGATGAGATGTTGATTGTGGATGTGCGCTGTGAAATGTATGACGTTCATTCATTTTTGTTCCTTCCGTAGCTAATTGCTGGCCTTGAGAACTGATTACATTCTTTAGTAAATGACGCTCCGATTTGTCGATAACCTTCTTGTGAAAATGGCTCACAAAGGCATATAAGCACAATGCACTTAGATCCTTTGATCGATGCTGATAGTCAAGACGATTATTGACTAAGACATATCGATCGCCGTTGTTGGATTTTGTTGGTTCTAATAAAAATTGTTCTTCGATTTCATTTTTATCTTCTCCTTGTTCATCGTAGAAAGGCGTTGAAGTCTCTAGAAAACTAAATATTAAAAATCTATACAATTATTTTAACAAGTACTACCGCCTATTTTCTCTTCAATAATTTCTGTTTCGTCAATTCGTGCTTTATTTAGTTCTGTTTGTAGATAGTTTTCGATTGAAATGAGAAAAAGATTTTTGAATGTATGTGTAGTGTAGTGGTCACCATAGTTCATTAGGTATGACGCAACTTGAACACCTGAAACTTCTTGTTGTGAAGCAATCATATTAAAGCAGCGTAACACTAGTTTACGTGATTTGTCAACAATATCATATGTGGTATTAGCATTTCGTTCCTGGTCAATAGACTTGATACCTTGTTGTACCAGTGCAAACATATCATGGAAAGCCAGAGTAGATTTTGTTACATAATCAGTTACGTAGTAAACTAATGCTTTGGCGTCGTTACCACTCCAGATGAACTTAATATCCATGTTCGATCGGCACGCACTTAAGACCCATTCATTGAAGTTATTGATCCACGGGTGCGATCGACGCATGGTTATTTGACCCGTCATAGGATCAATATTAGAAACCTTGACTAATGCGCGTGGCATGATCAGTCGACAAATTTTTGGTCCATCTTTTTTGCCTTTAGAATATTTATAGCAAGTCGCAGAATGCTTGTGAATATTACAGGTTTCGACCAACTGAACTACATCTTTGCGGAACGTTTGATCGAAGTCTTGCAACGCAGGATTTGGTGTTGGGAGACATGCTGGTATAACTTCACTTGCTATCAGCTCAGTTTCTCCTAAAATGAAGTGAAACTTATAATTAAAGATCCTTAATTGCTTCAAAGCTCACTATTTAACGTTCTACTGTCAGTTGTCGCAATTGTTTCGTCACTGGTTTCATCTTAAAAAAGAATAATGATATTCAAAAGTAGAAAAAATTAGAAGTCTGATAAATACATATTAAAAATAAGCGATTGGAATGAAATATGTTTTGGTTTAATGAAATTTTTGAAAACGTTCTGAAAGGTCAAGTTCAAGGCAAGGTAGTGATACACTATTAGGGTGTAAAACAATATCAAGCAGGCGAATATAAAAACTTCCAATCACAGATTCAAATAATGTCAAATATATTGCCTCGAAACGTATCTAAATCTTCTTTTATGATATCTTCTAAATATTTTAGCAAATTTTCACGAAAATCTTGATTTTGAATTTTTTCTTTCAGTTGCGCTGGAGTAAATTCATGATTGAGCCAAATCAAGAGATGTAAATGAAGCGATCCTCTTCCTTGAGTCTCTACAGTGCCGAAATACGCTTTTGTAGGACCGAGCACACGGCCGACCACTAGGCTCTTCAGAACGCTTTTTATTAAACAGCTGAAGAACTTTGCAGTTGCAACAGGGTGCGTCGCGACAATTTGAGCACGCTCATAACTTGTACGCAGGTCTTCTGGCAGAACGTTATCAAGGTCTAGATCGACACCTCCGAAGTAAAGTGCCACTGGACTATGGATGTCGGCCGGATTGATTGTGTGGAAAAGACTAGGAAGACCAAGATAAAAACACAAAGCATGAATTTTCGTACGAAGAGCTGATCGTGAATGAGCTGAGCCCATGACATGACCACCAATAATTTTGATATGCTTCATCAACGTATTTATTCTCTCGTCAGTAACTTTTGAATAAGGCGCTTTTGAGATATTAATAAGGGCTGCTGCTACATCTTCAGAACTCAATGAGTTAAGAACTTGTGCGGACTGTTGAAACCACGGTTTTGTTGTCATTAATTGAGCATGGAAACATGCTGTTCGGCGTTGTAAAATATTGAAGACAACAAATATAAATGAGTGATGTTGTTCAAAGCGGCGATCTGCATACGAAAGAAGATATCTGAGATGCTCCCGAAAATTGATTTGAATCGGTCGAGAACCATCCTCCAGTCCACCACATCCATATGGGAATAGGGTGGGAAAGATTCCTAATAACAGATTTGGATTAGAATATTCATTGGCCGGTTTGTTGCCACGAGGAATTATGTATACAGAGTCTTCTTTAGAGTTTTGCTCGGTGTCTTTTCCGTATGTTTTCTCTTGCGCTTGTGCTTTGATTCGTTCTAAAAGATGTTCAGCAACTTCATCAGACGACACTTTGGTACCGTTGACATCTAACACAGCACTATAACATCAACAATATCAGAGCAAAAATGTCAATATGTCTCTTTGATCTACCTTGAGATTATGGGTATAGCCGTTGAATTGTTAACGCCAGATGTATTGATCAACGGGTCAGGAACGTAGCTTGCTCTTTCATTTTCAACTGCTTCTACATTCGTAGAAATTTCCATGGTTGCCCACAAACACTCTGGCACATCATCGTCAGGCAATTTGTTGATTTTTAGTTGATTAATTGTAACATTACGATATAGAGGATTATTCTGTCTAAGCCATTGAAGTGCTTCGAAAACTTTCTTTTTTCGAACGGTCAAAACATTTTTTAATTGGTTCCGTTGTGGAGGATGACACCCAACAAAGATTATCTTTAGAGAATCACATAGATCATCTAAATCTAGTGGTAAGATAGTAGCTATGTTAATAACATCTTGGGGAAAACTTATGCAATTCCCCTTTAAAGCTGACTGAGCTGTACTTGTCGAATGGAAAGACGAGTGTAACTTGACAATGCAGCTGTTGTGTCTGTAAAGAGCAATCAGTTTTTGCTCAGGAATTGTTAGTTCTTGTAGTTGTTCTGGGACATCTCCAACCCATATTTTGTTGGCAGGGGAAAATTTCGGTATTTTCTCTTTTAATAGAGACGACCAACACTCGGTACAAATATCACAGTGAACCGAGTCTCTTCTTTTTCTCTCAACCGTTTTATGCAATCCTGCTGTATAGAAAACGATACCGTTTACACAAATAAATGACTTTTTAGCCATTGTTGATTGAGCATTTGCATCTGAAATTAAAAACAAGATCATTCACTACGTTAGCTTGCGTATGAGCAAGACCAACCTCCTGCTTTTTCTGTTTGAAACAAAGCCGTGGCAACGTCGTCGCTCATGTTCAGATTATCATATGGTTGAAATGGCTGTGTTTCCAGCATTCCCAAAATAATTCCATAAAAATCATCGGGTACTTTTAGTAAGTCATTAGACGGTATTTTACTGAGCGGTATGCGGCGGAGATCACGTTTATAGCAACGAGCATTACAAATACCGCAAACACCTTCTTGTAAAGAACTCATCGACATATGTTGAATAAAGTTCTTTAAACAGGTTTTCTTATGTTCAATATCAATAGGCTTTGGCCATTCAAAGTCGTTACTTTCTTGTTGGTGCTTGTCGCTTTATCGAAGCCACTTTCTCTGACGAGCAGATGCACGCTGTCATTCGAGTTCATCAGATGTATAAGTAGCTTGTCTTGCGGTACTTCTTTTGCAAGCTACCACACACTGTTCTTCAGCTTCTTTTGGTGATGCAGTAGCTCGTTTATTCATACTTCGTTCGGCAGGAGGTGTTCGTTGTAGCTGGATCTCTTTCGATGTAAAAGTAGCTCTCCATGCTACAAATTTCTCACGAGTTAGCTCTCGCTGGACTTCGATTTCTTGCACTGTTAAAGCAGTTCTTCTGGCTGCACTTCTGTCTCGAGTCATAGTACGTTCATGTTCAAGTTATTCTGATGTTAAAGCAGCTCTTCTAGCTGCAATTCTTTCTCCTGCAAGGGACCGCTCTAGTTTAGCTTGTTCTGATGTAAAGGCAGCTCTTCTGATAGCGCGTCTTTCGCTTGCAAATATCCGCTATCTTTCAGCTTCCTCTGGTGTAGCTTGAGCTAGTTTAAAAGCCATCCTTTGACAAGCTTGTAATCGTCTTTTGTCAATATTCGTGTTCTTCGCGCTCGTGTGAGTCTCACTTGCTTGTAGTATTCGTTTAGTTCGAGAAGTTGTTGCGGTTTCCTGGCTTACCATGTAATAGGTCGATGATGTTTGAAATTGTTGAATTTTATTATTCTCCATATTAAATTCAGGAATGCGAATTCGAGTTAGTACGTTATTCTTCGTTGTTGAATTAGTTGGCGTCTGCAAGTGAAAGTGTGTTTTATTTGTGTAAAAAGTTCTGTACTAAAACATTAAACTCACCAAGCGTGACACAGTGGATTTCGGTTCAGTCAGGTTACTTTGATTCTGAGACTCACTCGATGGAAGTAAAAGTGGTACGAAATTATTAGGTGTCCAATTATCAACATTACTTTTACTTGTGTCTCTTTCACTTTGAGTATGTAACCAGGATATATAAATTGTTTTAGATGAAATACTGGATTGAGCATGCTCAAACGTACTATTCATGATGTCTAGATCGAGTCGACAATCAATTCTTGGATATATAATTCGTATATTGCATTGAAGGACATTACTTAAAGCTGCGATTTCATAAAGTTCCGAATATGAAAAATGATAGGTGATATTTTTTATCACCTCATTAAGTGATCCAACAATATGTGCAAGGCGATTGCTGTAGATAGTTTCATTTTTTACGAATTCTATTACAGTTCGAACCAGAAAGATTGTATTAACAAAACTGGGCAGTAAAGTTGAAAGTATCTACCTCTCAGTTCGCAAGATATCAAGACTGTATTATGAGTTAAACATATGATAGAGTTATGGAGACAATTGCCATCTGCAATGACGTCAATCGGAACCATATTTTGAACGCCCAAAGATGTGTGCTGAAGATATGATTTAGCTTCTTGATCTACCTTATGAATAA